AGAGGCTATCGGTTACAATCATAACCAATATCTTTTGCTCCGCCGATAGCCACTTTCGGTTTGGTCGAGTGGCCGAGGTGAACCCGTCCTCTTTCCCGAGTAGGTACCCGAGATAGTCCTTGTATCCCGTAGTTTGGGTTTCAATCCACCCCTTTCGGTCATAGTTAGACACACCCGTGGTGGTCAATTTCAAGAGCTTGGCCAACCGGCCTTCGGAAAGCACAATTTCCTTGCCACGGACCTTGGTGGTGATCTCTATTTTGTCACCCCGTTTTGTGGCCACAAGATGTTGATAGAACTCCTTCACCAATTCGGGGTATGTGTCCCCTTTGATGGTGAGGTATGCATCTAGGAGTCCTTGGTGTTTAAGCATATCGACCAATTCCGGAGAGAATTGGTCGGGTTCAAGACTTTTACCTCCGATCACGGTGTAATCGGCGTTGTTCTATTCCGGGGTGCGAATTCTGAGGGGTTTTTTTTTCGGCATCGTGAATCTCTCTTTGGTGGTGAGAAATTCCGGCAAAATTCCCAGTAGCCTTTCCGGTGAACCTCCGGTGAATTTTTCCGGCGGGGGGACGGGGCTCCGGCGTGTCTTTCACGGTGGCCGAGCGTGCGGCAATTCGTGGTGCTCCGGTGGAGGGCCGGTGATGGTAGACGATGGCCTTGGCGAGGGAGAGAGGCGGCTTCGGGGCGGTGCGCAGCAAGGCAGCGGGCGGTGGCCGGGCGATCTTCGGGCGAGGGCGGCTGGGCGCTGTTGCGGTGGTGCAGCGGCGCGGGCTGGCGGGAGGCGGTCGGACGGCGGCGGCGTTCGTGCGGCGGTGGCGTCGAGTGGTTTGAGGGTGGTTGCTATGGTGGGGCGGCGGGTTGTGTGGGAGAGAGAAGGAGAGGGAGTGGGGAAGGTGAAGGGGAGGAAGAAGGAGGAGAAGGGTTTTTGATTTGGGGTTTTTGTGGGTTTTAGGAACTTGGGGGGTTTAACAAGGGAGTATCCCCTTGAGGTTTCAAGAAACACTCATGGCTTGGTGGTTGGAGCTTGGACTTGTAAATGTGAGGTCTAGAGTTCAATTCCTAATAGTAACATTAGGCATTTCTTGATGGTATGATTTTGTCCTTTTCCTTGTTTTGTCCTTTAGTGGGGGAAGGGTTGGGTTGATAGTGTAGCTTGTGCTTTACTTCCGTAGTGGAATTGAAATTCGATCAAAATCTTTATTCATAATACTTTCGAAATAGCTAAGCTAAATAAGTGGTCTTTACGACACGGGGGTGATTACAAGGGGTGTGAGGGTTTATCCTAGACAGAACTTGTTTTCTGGGTTTTCTTCTGTGGGATCTGTATGGTCCTCGTTCTCCGGGATTGGGTTTCCCCCTTCCAGGTCTTCTTCGTTTCCGAGGTTGGCTTGAGTGTGGCTCATAACGAATACCTTTCCGGGAGCGCCGTAACTTCCTTGATGACCGGTGCCCCCGTGTTGGCCCACGGTGGCGGGGCGCGGTCTTTGGGGTCGAGTGCACTGGAAGGCCTTGTGCCCCTCCTCTCCGCAGTTGAAGCATTGCCAGGGGTTGCCTGCGCAATCTTTACCCCTGTGGCTTTTGTTGCATCTCGGGCAAGGGAAGCTTCTTGGATTAGCTTCGTTGTTTCCCAGGGTCGGTCTCTGGTTGGTCGGGTTGTTCGTCCTTGTGTCGGTGTCGTTTCTCGTTCTTTTTACTGGCGGTGCCCCACTTCCGGTGTTTCTTCTTCGTATTTGTTCCTGAACTCCGCGTTGGAGTAGTTGGATCCGATAGAGATTCGCGGCACTGGAGTAAGCCTCGTTGAGGGTCCGAGTTCTGCTTACCACTAGCGTCTTTCGAGCTTCGAAGTTGAGGCCCCACACGAATCTCTCTATCTTGGTTACCTCGGTGGGGACTAGCTCTGGCGTGAAGCGTGCTAGCTCAAGGAATCGTTTATGGTATTCTACGACGGTGGCCGTTCCTTGTTTTAGATGAAGGAACTCTTCGTACATGGATGCTCTCACGTGGGTTGGATAGAATCTCTCTCGTAGTCGTGTCTTGAGGTTCTCCCAATTGAACCCCGGTTCTTGTTTATAGGTGGGTCCCTCGTGGATCCACCAGAGGTCGGCCTCGTGCCCGAAGTAGAACGAGGCTATCTCTACGCGGCGTTCCTCTGGGCATTCCACTACTCCAAAAATCTTATCAAGCGTCCGGATCCATTCTTCTAGGATCGCGGGATTCTCTTCTCCCGAAAACGTGGGTGGTCGGTGATTTGAGACTTGTCGGGCGACGTCCGAGTTTGCGTTTGATGGAGGCGGTGGGGGCCTGTTGTTGCGAAGGGCCGCGTCACTTAGTGCCTGTGCGACCTGTGTTAGTTGCTGTAGAGTTTGGGTCAAGGGGTCATTAGTGGCGGGTTTCGGAGTCCTTGATTGCCTTCTGTTCGGTGCCATGCTATCGTCTTTCTGGTCAGTGTTTATATGAATGTTAAGTTAGAGTTCGATGCACTTCTGATGGAGTGATAAGTGGGGAAGGGTTTTAGAATGGGGAAGGGCAACGTGTAGGGAAGTTATGTGTAGGTTTCACAATCTCACCGCGCATCCTAAGATTCCTGAGTCCTATGTTCCTAGGTACTTAGAGTTCAAGCCTAACGTCCTAAAGTCCGGTCTTAAGAGTCTTTTCCTAGGGTCAAACTTAGGCTCTGATACCAATTGTAACACCCCAGATTTTCAAGACATTTTAAGCTTATATAATAAAGGTAATATCTCATTACATCCCAAAGTATATCATAAGTGTACGGGGTGCTATGCCACACCTGGGCTAGAGAACCCAGGTGCACAGGCTGTCTAACTAATACCCATTGAAACATAATGCATAATATGGCACGCAGGCCGAAAGTGAAACTACTCTACTTCTACGCTCCAGTTCTAGCGCGCTCCAGTGCTCTAGTCCTCTATGCCTGAAAGCCAAATATATCTGTTCAGCGAGAGATGCTGGTAACCCACTCCAACGCGTTGAAATACAATACATATAGAGATATATATAGATATACGAAAACCATTTTGAACATGAAGATATATCCTACGAACTCTAGCTTTTAAAACCGGGAATGACTCGACAGATAGGGCCAGACACGAGCAACAGTTATAACAACATATACAGTTCACGACAGATAAGGCAGGTAATGCAAAGCATAAACAATAGTCACAACCCAACATAAACAATCCCCAACATAAATCCCATAGTCACATCCCCTAAGACACTCATGATCACCGCTCATCCATATCACAACACATAGCACACTTTGTTGGCGCCACAGGACCAATCGCATGCCCATACATGAGGGTCAGCGCATATAGCTCTGACACGGCCCCGCAGCACCCTGCCCCGTATCGCAACACGGAGGGGTCGATCGCAACCGACCGATGAACCGCAGCTCAACACAGTGTTTGATCGCAACCAAACAGTGGACCGCAGCCCAAGAGAATGTCATCTGACCGCAGCCAGGAAAAAGGACGAACCGCAGCTCGTATAGAAACGTTTGATCACAACCAAACGGTGGACCGCAGCCCAAGAGTATCAATCTGACCGCAGCCAGCTTCTGAATCGCAGCTCAGGATAACCAATCCGATCGCAACCGAATTGGGGTAACACACACATAACACATAGCAAGCACATGCAACCCACATTACACATTAGGAAGGGGGAGAAAACGTATAACAAAACCTATGCGTGATCCATCACTTACTAAGAATAGTCCTAAGGGGTTCATACTTCTTCCACCTAGGTCAACGGGATACCAATTCAACTAGCATGCAATATAATAGACTCATAAACCTACGAACGGTACCCGAAACATCAAACTAGACATAGGCACGATAAACGGAGTCCGTTGGGACACCACGGGGAACGGGGAACATCAAACGGGGAAGCCGGGATCCCAAGTTGGGGAAATTTCTAGCGGGTAGCCGGTGGGTGGGGGGGCCACCCGCCGGCTTCCCGCCGGTTTTACTGTTCCGGGCAGCGGGTCGCCGGCGGGCAGCTGCCCGCCCGCCGGCCACCCGCTGCCAGGCGGTGATTCTCGGCACCGGGTAGGTGGCGGGTCCCCTACCCCCCACTGACTCTTTTTCATCAATTGTGCCCCGGGAACCGTTGTGGAACCCGAAACCATGCTTAGACACTTTACAACGCAATTAACGACAACACGTAGACAATTAACGGATCAATTACGAGAAACGAACGACAAATAACCTATCATGCTTTTCTAAATATAATCAACACCCAAACATGCGATTTCCCCACCCGATAAACCAAGAATAATATCATACGATACAACCTAGGGTTCTAATCACTTTTATATCAACAAGAATACGGTTCGTCTTCTAATTGCAAGATTCGGTAAGAATAACACATAAACATCAAGAGCATCGCATAATTTTCAAGAACAACACATAATCATCAAGAACTCCATATAATTACCAAGAACACCATAATTATCAAGAATCTCCCAATATCAAGATTATCAAGATTCCTCATGGAATCATTATATCAATCATTAATAATAATCATCACCAATCATTAATACACAATAATATGGGGAAACCCTAAGGGGGAATCATAAATATGAAAATAGGTTTTGTTGAGACATGGGTTACCTCTTAGCCTTAATTAATTCCTTGGCTATGAAGGATCTTTCTTTAAGCTTCCTTGCTTTCTTGATTTCTCCTAAGGGGATTCTTGGAGCTCTTTTTGGGGTGGTGGGTCGTTATTTTTGTGGGAAGTTCTAGGTGTCTCCTAAGTCTCCTATTTATATATTTAGGAGTCCTAATTTGGAACTAATATTGTAGGCTTGCTAATTCTATTCCTTTTGGAACTAAGGATTGGGTTTAGGGGTTGGGTTTATATATGAGGGCCCGTGGACTATGGTGGGCCTTTTTCCCTAATTAATCATTATGATTTATTCTTTCTCTTGGGCTATTGATTAATTAATTAAATGGTTTTAGGGGCCGTAACACGGGGTGTTACACTAACTTTTCCTTTCCTGACATTAGCACCTGTTTCGGTTCATTAATCACTTGCGAAAATGCAGCCAATTGCTCCATGTTTGAACCTGCTAGATCAATACAACAGTGTACATCTGCCCACAGTTTGTTCAGCATCATCTTCTTTTCATCATTTGGTCCATTCTGATCATAAATGACACCATCTATTTCAAATGTAGCCTTTAAAGATGCATCCTTAGTCCACCGATTAACCACATACCTCAGAGGGATCTTTTCAAGGTCTCTAAAGACCACAAATATGTGTCTACACAACAGTCCAACCATCTCAAACATCTTGCAACTGCATTTGGCCTCATGGTCATTTACATTGTGCACCACACTAAATATTTTGTTCTTTCCATCCATAATATAATAGTGCAACATTCCACCATCTTCTCTAACACTCAACACCATACATTTGAAACAGGAGGCACATATTTCTTCCTGAACTTGATAGAAAACAGTAATGGTGTAGACGATTGAAGCGTGTTTTTCGATCCCCATAGGCGTCTTCATATCTGGATTATAGCCTTCATTGTCACTGTTGAGCTTTGCATTTGTGTTACATTGTGATTTAAGAGCACTGTCAAAGTTCATCATGAATTCAACTAGGCTAGACTGTGGGCCAGTAAAACGGCTGTACGTGTAGTTCTCACTTTCGGAACGAGACGTTGTCCTGAGTAGACCCCCCATAGTTCTAAACCAATTGTGTTCGACTAAGTTGTACTTTTCCATGGGCTCTCTCCACTGTTTCTCAAAATCAGGAGGTTCCAAAGATGACTTCCAAACGATTGAGTTCAGTTTGTTCTTGAACTCATCATTCTTGTTCAACGTAGGACCCACCTTTTCCCCAACTTTACACATAATGTGCCACATGCAGTAGCCATGCAGTAGCGATGCCTGGCTTGCTTGAAAACTCTTGGAATCGCCACTTTCATAGCTGGATCTTGATCGGTGACAATTATTCTTGGTTCCATACCCATTGCCTTTTTAAATTTCTCAAAGAGCCAAACATAAGACTCAATGTCTTCTTTCAACAATAGTCCAGCGCCAAATGTTATACATTTTTTATGGTTATCAACCAGATCGTACCTACAAGACAAAAAGCGTCATCACAGTATACAGGTGTCAAACTTGCGCACTTAGATCATTAGCGTGACACACATTAAGTCTTAAAATCGCAGATACATGTACTTTAAGTCTAATTCTGGATGTTACTCATTAATATGCGCGACATTAGTGTTTAAGATGCGTGGTATAAAGCGACAATGTGCGTTTACTTATATTACAATTCTTTTCAAGTAAACAGTGAACGTGTCTAAATCCTAACCTGACTCAACATATCAGGCAATGCTTAATGTGAATTAATTAATGAAACATACATAAGAATGTGAATAGAATAATACCTGTTGGTTGAATATGTGGCATCAAAAGAGATAACATCTCCAAATGCAGCAAAATTCTTTTTTGACATTGGATCTGCCCAAAACAGTCTACTCATCTGCTCATCTTCATCAACTTCGTAGTCAAAAGCAAATGCAGGGCACATCTCTTGTTTTTTTTTAATAAGATTATGCACGAGTATTTGTGCATCAACACCCAATATGTATGCTCTGAGATCCCTTCTGACATTTTTAAAGTCCACTACAGTGGCCCCAACTTCAGAGTAATCCCCCACAATCTGACTGTATAGACCGTGTGATTTTGATGCTCCAATGTTTGCCTTAGCACAATCTAGTATAAACTTCTGATGAACACTGGAGATGTTTCTATTTCCCTTTAGGAACTGCCTTGCAAGAACAGAAGACATGCTGTGATTGTGTTTTTCAATAAATGTCTTAACTTGGTACCCAGCTGCTCCAATGTACTTAAAAATAATCCTAGTTCTGCAACCAGTTATGTTTGAAACCCTCCGCCGCTTTGGACGCGAAGGACCTTCCCCCGCATCTGCAGTTGGTTTTGAGTGACAATGTTGAGCACCCGTATTCTTAAATCCCTCTTTATTGCAAATGATTTGCTTTTGAATTTTCATCCCGTCGCGTGCTGTAGTGAGGGAACTAGACCTCGTGTCAAACCCGACTTTGGCAGCATAATTGTTGTAGAATTGAATACCGGCATCTAATGTTTTAAAAATCATGTCCAATACTACGTCATTCCAGGAGATATGGTCAATGTATAACCGTTGCTGCTGCTGCTGGGGCTCAAACTGGGGTTGTTCAGAGATTGCATGTCATTGGGAACTGTAACACATAAGCATGAAGTTATTATTGCGTTGTTGTAAGCCTCTACGTGTGTAGTGTGAATACTTAATATGCGTTAATTTAATCAGATCATTTTCAATATGTCAGGTTTATAAAATACAAGAGTACGTGCGTCAGGTAAGCACTTAACGTGCGTCAGGTCAATAGTTAGGGTGCGTATGTTGAACAGTTAACATGCGTAAGTGTTTTTTAAAATGTTAGGCCATTACTTAACGTGCGTCAGTGAGTCCATTAACATTAACATTCGTCTGGAAAGCAATGAACGTGCGTGTGTTTAATAGATAACATGCGTAAGGGTTGTTTCTTGGTGGGGGGTTTCTCCTCTCTTCATGTCTCGTGGAAGATTTTTCTTCATTGTTTCTTTTGTATTCACCAGGACGTGGTGGTGATCTATTTCTATCTTCGTCCTTTTCATCATCCTTTCTTGTCTTTTCCCCTTGTTTTGGCATCATCACACAGGGAAGCAGAAAACCTGGTTAGACTCTTAACTGCATTAAGGACATCTTTGACATACTCGAGCATAGTGAGCTGATATTCTGCCATTTGAAATATTTTGTCATGCCCTAAGTCGATCTTTGTACATGCAAGATCAACTCGTTCTTTGAGGCCGAATTGGGTGTGTTTGAGAGCATGTTGTTCCTTAGCATTTTTGTCAAGAATGGCACGCTGTTGATGGAGTTCTTGTGCGAGCTTATCTTGAGTATCTAAGGTGGAAGAACTAGGTTGATGATGAGACATGGTTTGCATCAGATGGTCCACTTTGGCAGATAAATCTGCTATGTTTCGGCTGTCTTTTTCTCGATGGACCAAATATTGTTGATGAATAAGTTCAACATTAAAGATTGCATTCAACACTTGATGCATGATGTGCTCGGGACTAAGATACTCTACGCTGGGCTCTTGGTCGGGATATGGACGCATAGGTTTGCGAAGAGCACTTCTATGTTCAAATGTATATGGCTATGCTTGAGGTGATGCTTCCAGGTTTTCATCACGAGGTGATGCATCCTTGTTGTCATCACGAGCTTGATAGACAACCACTTCTCTTTGTCTCGGTGGAGGCATGAATTGAGACGGATCACGAGGTGAATTATCCTTAGGCAGAGATGATCGAGGTGCGGTGGATCTATCGGGTATGAATTCGGTGTTGCCTTAGACAAGAGATTCACTGTCATAACCCGAATTGTTGTCATTGTCATCATCTCCGGAGTCACCATCGTCATTGTCTTCATCATCATTCTTCTGCACATCATCTGTCTTTTCATCATCTTCTTCAACATCATTTTCTTCATCATCATCCTCATTGTCTTTCTCATTATCGTTCTTCTCAGCATCTTCTTCATTGTTTTCTTCATTTGCATTATCGTCTTCATTATTCCCTTCATTCTCAGTATCTTCTTCATTATTCCCTTGATTCTCAGTATCTTCATTGTTATCAGTTTTGTGCTCATTTCCATTTGCGTCAGAGTGCGCCTCACTACGGTCGTGTTTAGAAGACCTTTCATCATCATCTTCAATCTCATTCCCTTCGTCATCTTTGGATCCACTGACATTACAAGCCGGATCATTCTGATGAGTTCGTTCTAATTCTGCCTTGACTTTAGACAGGAGGAGAGCATATCTAAACTCTTTCATTTCTTATTCGAAAACTGGGTCCAATGGCAGCTTATTCAGCTCAATGCAAATGGGAGCTTTGTCCTTCCCAAGAGTGCGATTGGTCACCTTGTAAGAGTATACACGGTTGATTGTTTCAAGACGGATGGCATTGTAGACATCTCGTGTGCCAATCCATTCTAGAGCGAAATCTTCCTCATCCTTCATTTCGTCAAATGTTTCAAGGAAGGTTTGTAAGGGAGAGGTTCGCCATTTTTGCCATTGCACGACTCTGTTAAAATCATTCTTAATAGATTGACGAAGAAGTTAATCTCTTGATGGAGGAATTGGTACAGGTTCAGGTACTGGTACAACTGTTCGTGAGTCCTCAGGTATAGCATGCTCTTGAGTGATTGCAAGCTCGGGTAGACCTTCTCTCGGATTGTTTTCAAGCTGTGAGATCACTTCTCACGTCTCAGCTGGCTGACCAGGTTCTTGTGGAGACTTAAGTGATCCGAAGGCTGTGGCGCAGTTTCGTCCTCATCTACCCTAGCAGGTTCTTGTGTCAGAATAGGAACTATCTGCTCTGCTCGGGTAGGTTCTTGTGGGAGGGTTGTTTCGACAGGTGGTGTTGAGAAGACAATTGGATCAGCGACCACTGGTCTCATCTCTTCTGGCAAGCCAGGTTCTAGTGGGAGACTTAAGTGGTCATTCGGAACCGGAGATACATGGGCACCCTTATCCATCGTAGCAGGTTCTTGTATCCAACTTGTGTTGAGTTGCTCTGCCGGGATGGGTTCTTGTGGTAAGGGAGATTTCTTCAAACTTTCAGTGCTCTTAGATCTCTTCTTTCTCTTCTTAGAGGCTTTTCGGGATGAATCTCGTTTCTTTTCTTCTCCCCTGAGAAGATGCAGACTTCTTCTTCAGTTTTGCTATTTCGCCATGATTTCGTTTGCTTTGGCAATGGTAGGTCGAAAATGGCTTTTCGATGTGTGTACAGGGCTGGTGAGTGCAGCATCTTCTCCTTCGAAAGAGCCATCAATGATAACGGGTTCTGTTGATGAAATTTGTGGAGTCTTTTGAGGATCTTCTTTCGTGGTAGCTTATGGTTCTGTGGGCTTAGAGACGGGTTGGATTTTTGATGGAACTTTCATCTCAGGATATGGGCTGAGCTGCGGTTGAAGCTTTCATCTCTGGTTCGGGTTGTGCATTAGATGGTACCTTTGCTTCTTGTACGGGGGAGTCTTTGTCTTTCTTCGATCTTTTGGCCTTGGGCACATCATCATCGGTTTCTTTGGCTCTTTTGGACTTTCGTTCCTTTTTCACCGAGTCCAATGGCAATCCAAGCTCCAATGCTTTCTGCTTGTGATATCCGGTGGGTTTGGATTTCATGTGACATACTTTTCGCCCAGGGGAACTTTCTTTGTAGCGAGAAGATGGCTGAATAGAAAGCCAAATCCAATTTTCTTGGTAATGTCCCCTGGTGAGGAGCGGCCATTCGTGATGATGTGTCGATGTTGATTAAAGACAACATTCCACCAGTCCACTTTGTATCCCCCATGAAAGGCATCCAGCATCTTCAATTTGTCCTTGGTAACATCGTCTGTTCCTGAGGTCTTGTGTTCTACGACCTTGTTGAAAATGTCAACTGTGAACTCGTAGTCCATACGTAACCATTTATTCTTTAGAGGCCAGGTGATCTAGGTTGGTCCTTGCTTGTTCATGATCTTTTCATAGAAAGCATTTTGTTCGTAGTAGTAACGAGAGAAATCGGAATGGTAAGTTTCATCTCGATCTGGGAAGTTAAAAGCTTTCTTCAAGTCATCAATGGTCAGAGCTACGGCACTGCAATTGACTTCCGAAGTAATTTCCAATCCATTAGCAGAGAATTTTGGGTTCAGATAGAACTGAGCAACGCCCACCGAAAACCAATATGTGTATAGATGGGTCACAAAATTGTACAGCCCACTTTTTTTTAGAAGATTAATCACCGTTTCTCCAAACGATCTGTCAAGGACATACTCAAGAAAACCATGAGCGTTCCACATGTTTCCGCCAATGATGAATGGAACTTTGGACTCAATGAAGTTGATATCATATGTTGGAAAGCTGGGTATCACCGTTGTAGAAGGCGTCTCCTGTTCAGCGTCCGATGTTGGTACTTTGGATGTTTTTGCCATAGCTTCAGAGATAGAGATATGAGTGTTCTGGGTTTAAAGGTTTGGGACGAAAAACGGATGATCCCAGAGAGGTTTTTGAGACTTGGAGTGTTGAAGATGTTTTTGAAAAGTGAGAGGGAAGATGGTAGTTTAGGTCATAAAGGAAGGGATTTTGCAAAGGGTTTTCTCATGGGCCAAAAAGTTCATCGGGGTAACCCGGCCTTTACTTGAATTTGAATATGTGGGCCTTTTCCCATTCGACCATTGAGGTAAACTGATACGGTGAGTGGGTCTGATAAGCCCAGTATCAGATTAATTTTGATCATTCGACATTAAATATGAGAGAGAAAAGCACTTGATGAATGCATGACATCCCCATTAAATGCTTGTCGTATCAACTGACAGAGGAGCATGGGGTAGTGGGCCGAGGTTTGTGGCTACACCGCCACACGAGGGTAGTGGGCCGAGGTTAGGGTGTAACTTCTCAATCCCAAGTAACCGTCAAGGTATTTATCGTATAAGAGACATGTGATTTGTCACGAAAGATAAATAAAGACTACTATGTGACCACAAAAAGTCTTGGTTAATACGGTTTCGTGACCATGATTCATTTGTAGAAAGATAGAGCACACGAGACATAGAGATGAATTATTACAATGACGAACATGGACAATTTTACAGTCATCTCTCGGATTATATAAGATAGGATCGTTCTTAAGTTCGCTTCACCCTCTTTCTCAGCTCGTCCTCGAGCTCTTGGATCTGTTCTTCACAGAAGTCCTTCCACATCAGATAAGATGGATCAGTTTTGAAAGCATCCATTATGGGAGGTGATGGACCAAGGGGAGGATGAACATTCTGGAGAAGGGTCGAGGGGAGCTTCTTAGCAGCCGAACCCTGAGAGCTTTCTCCATGCTCAGTTGATAGGCTAAGGGATTTGAACATCTCTTGAACTTCTTTCAGGTCCTTCTTTGGCAAGGAGATAGTAGAGGAAATCTTTTTCTTTCCCTTATCCATTCTGAAGAAATGGAGTGATCATAACAACATAAGATGTGTCTTTTTATAACCAAGAGTGCTAGTTCATACCGAGGTATGACACATATTCCATGTGTGAAAGACTAAAC